AAATGCGACTGTAGCTTATTTTTTCCCCAAAACTTTCTCTTCAAAATAAGGATGCGTCTTATATTCCGAAAAATACGGTAAATAACATTCACGAAGGAGATACCTTATTTCATTATAATTGTAACGAGGGAGCAAATGTTTAAAAAAATAGAGAGCATCCAACCGTACACTAAACTTAATTTCGAAAGGACCTAAAGCTGCTCTTCAACAATCTGTAATTAATAGTACATATTTTGAAGTAGAAAGGGGTATTTAACGCTTATTTACCAAACTAAGGCTAAAAACTCTAATTAAACAAATAATGTTGAAAAACGATTGAGCGAGCTAAAATTGAAAATAAGACCTACCGTAGTCAAGAAGATACACAGTTGGACACTAATTTCTTAAAATTAACTTGTTGTTTCCTAGATTTTACCAGGAATATAGACACAGAAAGAACGTTAAGTCGTTTTAAGGAAGACCTTCTAAATGTTCATAGGAAAGAAAAATGTTCATCACAACATTTATCTAAGACGAAAAAGAAGCATTGAAATGACTACAGCATTATTCTAGCCTTATCATAAATCAATCATATAAACAAAATATTTACTATAATGAACAAAACATTAATCTAGCGGAACAACAGCTGGAAGATAAACCTACATAGAACTTGTCCATGATGATTGAGGAAACTGGAGCAATAACTAAAGATATATTAAACATATATGTTAAAAAGAAGTTCGATGATAAGATGTTATCCTCTATCATTCCTCATCATTCTTGTTGTCTTGAGTGGTTTGGACTTCCCAAGGATCACAAAAGTGAATTATCTTTATGATCTATTGTCTTAGCGAATGACAGTTCATGTGAACGAATTTCTTGACTTTTTAAGATGATCCTTTCACACCTAATGAGAATAATACCAAGTTATATAAAGGACTCGAATGACTTTATTTCCAAGCTTCACACTTCCTTTTTACACCAATCGTATATTGGGGAAGTGAACCGATCTGTTCGTGAAATAATTCTGGAGCATATAAAGAACTGCTCACACAGGAACTGTAACACACCTCTCTGTTCTCATTTCACAACAGTTCATAAAAATTAGAGAGCTACTCACACAGGAACTGTGACACACATCTTTCGGTTTACATTTCACAACAGTTCATAAAAACTAATAAACTGCTTACACAGGTAATGCAACACACCTCTCTGTTCACATTCACAACAGTTCATAAAACCTAAAAGCTACTCACCCAGGTACTGCAACACATCTCTCTGCTCACAATCACAACAGTTCATAAAAACTAAGGAACTGCTCGCACAGGTAATTCAACACATCTCTCTGTTCACATTCACAACAGTTCATAAAAACTAAAAGTTACTCACACAGGTACTGCAACACACCTCTCTGTTCACATTCACAACAGTTCATAAAAACTAAGGAACTGCTCGCACAGGTAATGCCACACATCTCTCTGTTCACATTCACAACAGTTCATAAAAACTAAAAGCTACTCACCCAGGTACTGCAACACATCTCTCTGCTCACAATCACAACAGTTCATAAAAACTAAGGAACTGCTCGCACAGGTAATTCAACACATCTCTCTGTTCACATTCACAACAGTTCATAAAAACTAAAAGTTACTCACACAGGTACTGCAACACACCTCTCTGTTCACATCTCGTAACAGTTAACAAAAAATCAATAATTGCTTGGTATTCTAATAAAAGCAGATATTTTATACAAAGCGAAGGATGCAACTTCTCGAGTAATTACTGGGAGTATTTTTATTGGCCAACAGAAACCATAGTTAAATATACAACAGAATCCGTGACCTATGAACAATACCAGTAGATCTAGAAAATTACCACAATAACTTGTTTTTTAAACTGACTTAGATCCTAGTGCTGTGGCCATTCTCAAACTGGAGCCTGGAAATTGAAGATACCCCTCTCCACAGAAGAACAAATTACAACCATATTCTTAATGCATTGGTATGTTAGAAGTATGAAATGGATGGGTGTGAAAAAAATAACCCGTTTT